TTGCAGCAATAATTCTGCAGACATTGACTGAGATGCTCTCAAATCAGCTAATGGATGTAGTGGCTCTGATAACATCAATGATCATGCACCAGGTCCTGGGCATTGCCAATCCTCCACCTCCCTGACTGTTTGCCCTTAGCAGAACACCACCTAATAAGTAGTATATCACAATTAATGGTTTCATAATCTGGCTCTGTCACAGTAAACAAGTAATTCCTGGTTAGAAACCACATGTAAAATGTAAGCATTAGGGCAATTGCTGCTGTTAGCTGTTACTGTCTAATTAATCACCTACAATGTACAGCATGCACCAAGTGAATTAATTGTCATGATCTTTTGAAAAGGAAAACAGAAGTACTCTATTATAATTTACAAAAGTGTGACTTGAATGTAGTAATTTACCACACAGCCACACTCCAGACATAAGTGAGGCTGTATTTATTTCTTGTCTTGTGCATCTGATCTAATTACCTTGTGGCAGCGGTATGAAAATCAGTTGCAGTGACTCACTTCTTGAAAGTTTATTTTGGTTCTTCTTAAAATCTCAGCCAGCTTGACCTCAGCAGCCTTCACCAGTTTGAAAATGCAAGTTATAATCCTCTGTAGGGATTTAGCCAGGTGTCCATTACAGCATGTAATCTGTGATACAGCTTCCAGTATTCATGCTACAGAAGAGTTAAGCCCCTCTGTCTTTGTTCCTGAGTGAGAAAGTCCATGAGGTCTTAACATGGTCAGGGAACACAGTTAAAGAAGCAACATCTTCTGTCGAGCCCTGAGCCTGTGTGTGGGCTGTACAGGTGAGAGACCAGAGGCTTCACCTGAGCAGCAGTGCTGCAGCTGCTCCCTTGCTGATGTTCAGAAGTCACACTACTGCTGGACCTGTGTTTTTACCTAAATCCACACTCTAGGGTCACCGTGCTGTTCCTGGAGAGGACTTTGGTAAGACACATTGCTGCCCAGGGGGGAGCAAGGCCATCCCCAGCACCCTGTCCCAGCCAGGGACACTTGCAGAGCACCTCCAATACCACTATAAAAGTTCAAGCTGGCTGGCAAAAAGGAACAATGCTGTGTGCTAAAACAAACTAAATCCAGCTAGTTGAGGGGAAACCTGCTGGGACCAGTCAGCCCTGCTCAGGAGCTTCTCAGGTAACTCTGCTTTTTCCAGCCTGGGCAGAATGTGATCAAGTCCTGTGATACAGCCACATGTCCTCACTGTGCCTGCAAATCAGGCACCTCCTAAAGCCAACACTTGGACTATGTCAGTAGTTTCAGTAATATTTTCAATTCCATGAGCAGCCAAAACCAAAATCAATAGCAGCTTAATTTGCCTGCCTGCAAGGAGCTATCTAATATCAATCTCCCATTACTGTACAGGAAAACAGTGGGTTTCTTTTAGGTGGTCATGGTTGTGGTGTTGGGAAAGACTCAGCTACTTTTTATGCTAATTGGCAATAAAGTGTTTAGAAGTACATATCAATATTTAATTATTTAGAACTTTCATAATGGCTTAAATATCATTTTAAAAAGTTATAAATATTTTCCACCTTGTCCTACTGAAGAGCTGCTTCTTGGAAGGCTTAAATGAAGATCTATTTACAGCTGCATGCTAGGAACAGAATTACTTAAAGATGCTAATGCTTTGGTCCTTCAGATGGCCCCAACACAGACGGATCTTAGTTTTCACAAATTGGGCAAAGTTTGTCTTTGTTGTATTCATTTTACTGAGACAAAAGTCTTAAAGAGGATTATCATAGAGATCAAGGCATTAAAATATGTAACTAATCCCAGTTAAATTAATTGTTTTCATATTAACATGTACTGAGGGACGTTTGTGTAGAGTAAGACCCTTTTAGACTGTTTTGGTAATGTAAGTATGACTTACCATGCAAATTACATTTAAGATTAATTAGAAGCAGTTGAAAGCCAAGTTGTTAATAGAGAAAATGGGAACCTGATTCCAAGCCTCTGAAGCAATAATTATGTTAAATATTTCAAAATTACATCAGCAATTGCCATGTCAGTAGACAGAGGGGAATTTACATAAACTCATAATTTCTCTCCTCCTGTTAGAATTCAGGACATTTATTTTATTGGCTTATAAGCAGCTTAGATTTTTTTTCTCCTAATTTTGTTTTTCAAGCACTTGAACTCCACACAGGTTATTTTGGTGTCATCAAATCATTCACCTCTTAAAAGAGAATTCTGTGCCATAAAATTTAAAGAATAATTCAGTTTACTGGTGAAGACATGCCTGAAGCTTTTATTAGGATTCTCATTTGCAGTGATGTCCTTGCCCTGGTGTTTCAGTGGCAATCTGTGGCACCACTGTTACCACTGGTAAGAGTTTCAGGTGCAGGACAGGACAGCACTGTGATTCTGACCTATTCCTCACAATACTCTGCCAGTAATTGGAAAAGTCTCATCTTTCCCTCAAAAGCTCTGTGCACATAGTTGTAGGCTGCATTTCTGTTGCAAGCTAGGGCTACCAGCTTTCATTGTCATACTGGATTCACATTAATTTGTGGGGTGCTTTTAGAGCCCCTCTCCCAGTCATTCTCTGATTCTGTTGGCATCTAAGCTTTTGCTAAAAAGCAAAAGATTAAAGGCAAAGGGAGTAAAATAAATCAGCTAATACAGAGAAAGAAACACTACATCCCATACAACCTGGGTTAGCTGCTGGAAGTCATAAAACATGCTTCCTCCAGCATCCAGGGACTAACGGATCAGAGTGGCTTTAGTTTTTAGCACAAAGAATCACAACAGACTCAGCAGTTGCTTGTGGAGCAGGAAACTAAAGCCATCCCTCAGCAGTGCTTAATGCACCTGTCTGGCTACATGGGAGCATTTATTTCCTGGGTTCTGATACCTGTGACTGCCCAGTGGAGTTGCTTTTGCCAAAGCAGAAGCATAAAGCACATAGGTTAGAGGTACAAAGATATAAGTGACCAGATTTTTCTGCACAACCTCAGGTGTGATTTATGCCACCTGAGCATCTTCTGATAAACTGATATTTACATATAGCCAAAGGGTCCAGAACCTTACAGGTTTCACAATATGTATATTTTCCCTGAGGAAAACAAGCCTGTGTAAGTTAGCAAATTCTGGCATTTGTATCTGATATATTAAATGGAACATAAATATTAAAAAATTCTGTGTTTTCTCTCTTCTGCTTGAAACTTACTTTTAATTTTCACTGTTTTATTCAAAAGGAAGGCAGAGAAATAGCAACCATGAGCTTGAAATCAGAGCTGTAACAGATTATAGACAATATTTTGCAGAGTCTTTCCAGTTACAGCTGCATGCTTTGAAGCTGTTGGTGTAACAAGCAGCATGCTGGTTTTCAAATAACCCTTTTTGTTGTCTTGTAGTGTTTTTCTTCCCCTAACTTCCAGTCCCAGTGAATCGTTGTCAGTTTTAACATTCAGCTGTATTAACAAGAAGGACAGAGAAAGAAAATAGTATTTTCCAGCCCAGGTAAGAGGAAGTTGCCAGTGGGGAGGTCAAAGTGAGTGCAGAAGTTCTTTTGCTTGTGTTTCGTGGGACTATATCAAGGAGCAGAGCAGTGGCCAAGGTGGAAACTCACGTTTGAAACCTGTTTTCCACACTGGATAGCATTGAGTCGCTTCATTGCCCTCAGGCTTTGAGATGGAGAGAAGTATAACTGCAGTTATAAGAAAATAAAAGGTTGATCATCGTGCCAGGGCTTGTTCTCTTCTCAGGGCAGGTGTAGGGAACTCTGATTAATGACAATAACAGCTACATTAATGACCTCATCCAGCTCTGCTAGGTATAGGCATGTGCATATTTTTCCCCAGCAGTGCTGACTATCAGTGAATAGAGGCTTCCTCCACAATCCCAGTGTCAGGCAGAGGGAATGATACAGAGCAGCAGTTTCTCTCTGGAACAAACACAGAATGAACAAGTAGCAAAATACTAATGTACTGATGAAAGCTGAAATTAGATATACGTGATTCAGTGCAGCCTACAGGGTCTGATATCTTGGCAACTATGCTGCAAGATATCCCCAATCTGCAGACAAAATAGCCTTTGTGAAGAAGCAGAAGATTGTAGTGTGAAAGTTAATGCATCAAAAGACCAGAAAGAGAATAATTCACTTTCACCTTGCTTCAGAGGACAAGCAGCAGTAAAAGCTGTGCACTGTTGGCAAGTTTTTTTGTTGCTGTTTTTAACTCAACCCTCAGTTCAGAGCTCCAGCCACCTCGGCAGTGTTCCAGCTGGAGCCATTGACATCTCCCACCTAATCAAGTGCTGGATTATCTTGTCCTGATAAATTGAACCTGGTGCCTCATGAAAAGTCTTTTCTGAAGTACTTGGGTTCCCTGTAATAAGATGGCAGATACCTGAATCAAGCCCTGGAGCTGACAGAACACTCTTTTTCTAATGGCTTTTGGTTGCAAGTGTAAGTGTTTTAAGGCAAGGCAGTGTTGAGCTGGGAGCACAAGTTAAGCATGATAAATTTCCCACCTGTGTGAAAGGAAACTTGAAAGTGTACTGAGTACTGGCTCATACCGAGTATACAAAGGCTGCACTGCTAGCAAAATACACTTGTCCTAAAAATTAGTTCTCCTTTGGGCAGAGCTCTGAGGAACATGTTTGTTTCAAAAAGAAATTCTCTTTGGCTGCTGCTTATTTCTAAGAGTTGGAGTTACTGAGCTATTAGAGACTTGCATACTGTTCTTAGTCTTCTGTGACTCAATCCCTGGTCCAAGCTGTTCAGGGTAAATAAGCTTTTTTTTTCTTTAATATATACTAAGAAAATTGTTTATATTACAGAAGCGAGGGTACTCTCTATGTTGCGTTTGTACATTTACTTTAACAGGTAAAACATCCAGGATGAATCTCATTAAGATAAAGTTATTACTTGCAGGCATTTGTGTTTTCTTGGCTTCCCTCCTGGAGAAAAGCAGTCCTCAGTCAAGAAACACGTGTCACACTCACCTCCATGGTGCCCCTTGTAACACTGCTTTGCTCTTTTCCAGGGGAATCCCTACATGTGCAATAATGAATGTGATGCGAGTACCCAAGAACTGGCTCATCCTCCAGAACTGATGTTCGATCTGGAAGGAAGACACCCCTCCACGTTTTGGCAGTCCACAACTTGGAAGGACTATCCGAAGCCTCTTCATGTTAATATTACACTCTCCTGGAACAAAACCATTGAGCTTACAGATAACATAGTTATCACCTTTGAATCTGGCCGTCCAGACCAAATGATCCTGGAGAAGTCACTCGACTATGGACGAACTTGGCAGCCCTATCAATACTATGCCACAGACTGCTTAGATGCTTTTCACATGGATCCAAAATCAGTGAGGGATTTATCACAGCACACAGTCCTAGAAATCATTTGCACAGAGGAATACTCTACCGGGTACATGACAAATAGTAAAATAATCCACTTTGAAATCAAAGACAGATTTGCTTTTTTTGCTGGACCTCGGCTTCATAACATGGCTTCTCTTTATGGCCAGCTTGACACCACCAAGAAGTTAAGAGATTTCTTTACCATCACAGATCTGAGGATAAGACTGCTTAGGCCAGCAACTGGTGAAATATATGTAGATGAGCAACACCTGGCACGCTACTTTTATGCAATTTCAGACATAAGGGTATATGGAAGGTAAGAGAATATATAACTTTAGAAACAGTTATGTGTGTTTAATTTGAGAAGGTATTCAAAACTGTTTATTTCCCCAAACAAGATGATATTTTCTGCCAAAGTTCCTTGGAAATCTGTCTCAGCTGAAGGCCATTGCTCTCATACCAGAAGTTTCTGACTCAGTGGCACCAGGTCTGGGTGTTCGCTGGCATTCGCCTTGGATCTTGAGCCCTGGCTCTCACAGGCAGGATGGCATTGTTCATGTGTTGGCTCAGGAATTCACCCTTGCAGTGGGACACTTTCTTCTCTTAGGCAGTCACTGATCCAGTGGCAGTTAAATAAAAACAGAGATTCTGTTTTATCATTTGACCTTTCCAGGACTCTAATGTGAGCTGTGATTGATACAGCAGCCCTTGCACAAACCCTTCCCACTAGGTCTGTCTGTGAACAAGGAAAGCAGTGAAGATTAGAGTCCATGCCTTGTACTTTAATTAGCTCTGAAATGCAGAGAAGCTGAATTAAAATGGAAAAAACCCAAGTGTTTTAGATAGACTGATTTGAATATAACAAAGATGATTTTTCAGCTGGGTTCAAGACAAATGGTTCCCTCCAGGGCAAGCTGAGGCTGGTATCAAGTGCTGTAGTCCTAAAAATAATAACTGCAGTGACATTCCTATCAGGAAATTTTCTTCCCAACTCAAACTAGCAATTGACTGAATGCCCTCAAGCAGGAGGGTGATCCCTTTATATGGGGCTTGGATGCCAAATTGTTTAGAAGAAATAAATGGGATCACCTCAATTAGCAATTCACTCGCCAGTCTAATATACCTTTTCTTCCTCCTCTGTTTTTCCTATAAGGGTTTAAGACTTCCTTTTTAAAAAACTTTTTTTCTTTCTCTTAGAGAGAATCTATCTATGAAAACAAGCAGAAAAGCTAATCTATCTTGGAAGGCCAGGGACTTTCTTTGCAGACTCAGAACTGAGTGAAAAAAATAGCAACAGTGATTATATAAAACAATGCTGGCAATATTTTTGTCATTCCTGTAGCAAAAATCAAATCATCAAAATACATTTCATAGGTCTGAAGATTTAACATGCAGTTACAATCTTCTGAGTCCACACAAACAGTATATCCATACATACAGAATTCCTACTCCAACATTTGAAAATCTAAAATAGATGTTGCTGTTTTAAGAATTCTTCTTGCAATGCTCATTAGTTACTTTGTAAATTATTTTTCAGAAGTCTCCTGGGAGGGCTAAGTGGATCATGAACAGCTTAAGATACTGTTTGAAATAGTTTGGTAAAATTAGACTCAATAAAAAAAATAACACCTATTTAATGTGTATATTTATTCCACTGGGCTCCACACAGGTTAGCTCTACTGAGGCATCATATCACAGCTCAGGATTTGTGCGTCTTTAGGCTTCAGGAAAAGCCCGTTCCTCATCTGAAAACCCATTTGGAGCTTAGTCTGACTTCAATTAGATTATCATTACTTTATCAAAGAAAGCATCTGAAGGATTAAAAAAGAGTGCATTGCATGCAAATTAGAAACAGAAACCTTGTAAGCACATCTGGGGTTCACCAATCTTGTGAAAAATTATCTACAGAAATGAAGCGTGACTGTACAGAGAATTTATCTGATGCTGATACTTGTTGTCTAAATTCTGCAGTAATTGGACATGTGCTTTAAAAGAAGTATCTGATGTGTAATAGTACCTCACTAGATTAGATTCATGTGAATTATTATCACTTTTCTGCTAATGAGAAGAACAGCTCTTTTGGGATTTGGTGCCATTTCCTTCAATATCTAGCGAGCCTTCCTTGTTAAAGTCTTTAGGGCTTGCTTGCTGCTCAGTAGCTGTGGGGCTGCAGTACACAGCGGGTTGTTTAGTGGCACCAATTGCAATAAGCCCCATTACCTAGTTTTTGGTATTTTTTGTCTCTTCCAGAAACATTATGGCCTCTCCCCACCGAAGTCTCCTAATCAACATTCCCAGCATGTGCCCTGGCATGCCCTGAGCATAGGGAAGCAAGGGTTACAGGGGCAGTTGAGCCACTGTTCCCAGTTCAGCTGAGCTTTCCAGCTCTTGCTCCTTAATTTAAAATGTTAACTGGAAATTGTTACAAAATTATTTTGTTTTGCTACCAAGATTCATATTCTGGGCTTTGAGACGCAGCTACTTATATAAATTTGGTAAAACTAGACTAGATTATTCCATGAAGACAGGACACAAAGGGAGGTTTACTAAGGAGCTTGACATGTAGTGGATGAGGGATGCTGCCAGATGCACTTTAAAGCTAGTCCATTTTCTGAAAAACATAACCTCTAGGTCAAGTATAGTTAAAAATCACCAAAGCTCATAATAGCACATTTCTAAAGGCAGCATAAAATGTAATTTGTTTCTCACTCTGTTTTAAACATCAATGATAGTGAAAAGCATCTATCTTAAAGCCACTATGTTAAATTTACAGGATACTGTCTGGGGTGGTTAATACTTCACAATGAATTATAGGTTGGAGATTTGCCTACTAAATATAGGTTTGTTTTGTCATTGCTTTGCATTTTGGTGTGAAATAAGCCTGATGTATGTTGCATTAGAGATGAAAATCTGTGTACTCTCAATGAATGCCTTTCCTCCTCTATTACCACCAGTTTATTCTTCTTCAATTTACCAGTTCCATTGTGTATTTATTAAGGTGATGAAAAAAAGGAAACGTGGCTGTTAGCAATTTCAGCAACCCCATTGTGCTCACATTATTCAAGAAACCTAATAATCCACATGAACTAATTCTGACTTACTGATGGTCTGCTTCACTAAATCAGGGTGATTTTTTCTAGTGAATAATGGACGATGCAGTGCGCCAGTACCTTAATTAAAGAGAGCCTCTCTTATTCTTGATCTTATTTTAATTTACAGGGTAATACTACAATAATATCACTAATGGAAGGTACATTAAAGGGCATAAAGTAGCATTAGTTGTATTAAATTATGGCACTTGTGTTAATTAACTGCTGAAGCAAGATGGTCCTAACAGCTAGAAAGGTCGACTAATGCATAAATAAAATCTTCTGGGATGGGAAGCTAAGAAAGAGCAGACATTTCCCCCTCGTCTGGCCTTGCTGCAGAGGATCAGAGGGTGTCCTGTGCCACAGCCTCAGGAAGGTTTCTTTCACTGTGCTGCCTGCAGAGGTGGCCTGACCTGTCTGCAGGCTCTGCCTGTCTTCAATTCCACATGAAGGACAGTCCTGGCAGTAAGCAGTGAGGTACAGCTCCCAGTTTTAAACTTAGTGCTGTAGGAGAAGTTCAGTAAAATGCTGATAATAATTCCTTTGAAGTCAAGCTAAAGGTTCCTAGCAGATTTTGGATCCAACTGCTGAAGGTTTAACCATGTTAATTTTGAAGTATTTTTGCTCCAACTGTTATATTGTCAGTGACATGTGCATTTATACACTGTAAATTAACTGTAATTCAGCATGCTTGTAAAAACCACGGTCCCAGTGGGTAACAGAATGACTGGCTGGGTAAAACAAAGGCTCTTATTGCTTTTGAATGATTAGGTTTTGATCTAAGAGCCACCAGTTTCTTTCTGACACCAGAATATCCAGTCTCTGCACAATGTTATTAAGCCCTTTGGAATTTATTTTTATACTCTTCTCTCCTTGAAGCTTCTGTATTTAAGCCCCAGGGTTTTCTGACGGTGTCTCAGCTGCGGTTGCAGTTCCAGCTGCAATAGAAACCTCTAAATCACAGTACGCAAATGAAAAGTAACCTCAGTTTTAACAGTTCCTCGCTCTCACATTATCTATTCTAAATTTAAATCCATCTCAGCATCTGAATAAATTATCTGAAGGAAAATATATTTGCTACTTAGGGGTTGGGGCTTTTTTGTGTTCTCGGTCAGCCTGCCCCTCCTGCCAGCTGTGAGCCTGATCTGCTTTTGAGGCTGTCGTGGATTTGGGGTGGGTGAGGGCCCTTGCCCTGAGTGGGAGCTCACCCTGCAGCTTCAGGCAGGCAGTTCCACCGGGCAGGCTGGGCTGTGCTGGGTCCCATCCTCTGGCTCATTCTGCAGATGCAGATGTGGGTGGATTAATTGGAGTAAATCGCTGTGTTACTCTGTCATACACTTGGCAACACGATATGATAATGTCCCTCTGTAATGTACCCAAAAGCAGAACTTTGCCCTAGGGAAGTGGTAATACATAGAAATTCTGTAGTTTTGTTTATAATGGAAAATGTTTTCATTGATGTTCAGCTCAAAACGAGACCACCAATATTAAGACATGTAGGCTTCAAGCTTTTAAGGAGATGACTGAATACCTAGCAGTTTCTCTGATTAAATTATAAACTCATTAGAGAACAAGAAAGAAAAAGAAACGTGTATTTAAGAGCATGTCAATTGATCAGTAAGTCCCAAGTGCAATTTTTGCATTTTAATATATCTACTGTAATATGTCACTAAGGAAAATAGTCCTTCATTTTCTGTAAGCAAATCTAGGTTCATCAGGAGCTGAAATAATTAAATGGCCATGGTGTTTATTCACACATGAGCAGTCTCCAGGGGTTTACTCAGTACAGGTGTCCTGGGTGGGTTTTACTCCTGCCTGTGTTTGGATAATACTGATTTCCAGCCTCCATCCTGGTAACACAAGTCCTGTCCATCAGCTCAGTGCAGCCTCAGTTGCAGTGGCTGGAAGGGTGAGCAGAGCAGAGGAGTCTGAATGCTGTCTAGGACTCTCATTCTGCTATGTGCTTTTGAAATCAGTGGGTTTAAATCACCAGGTTTCACTCTCTGCCTTTGCTCACTAGCATCTGGTCATCTTTTCTTTTTTGCAAGATATCAAGTATTTCCATACTGATCTCCCCCAGCTGTCTTTCAAGGAAGCTCAGTATCGTGCAGGATCAGGGTTTTTGAGGAGAGGCATCAAGCCTTTTTGTAGTATAATTCATTTTGCCATTGAATATTAAAGGAGTAGAGATAAAAATCCTGATGAAAGAAATGAGGATTTTTCTTTC